AACTAAGTGCTTCAAAATCCCCACTGGCAGGAGGCAGACCAGTGGGCTATTTACAGAGCGCAGCCGAGGAGTTGAATTAGGAGCAACCGAGAACAAATCCAGTGCGTGTGTGTGTACATGTGTGTGTGTCCCGACCCTAATATTGTAATTCATTCTATGTAATTTGGCTTCCTAGCCTTGTTAACCTTCTAGTTATTTTAGGAAGCCAACACCCTCTGAGTTTTAATTTTTTTATTTGATGTTAATTTAATCTTCTCAAGAATAAGGGTGAATAAAGTTGTTGTTGTTGTTGTTGTTGTTGTTGTTGTTGTTGTTGACACCAATAGCAGTATGAGGTGGTCATATGGTGGGATTATTCATGTGAGAATAGTCCTTAGAAAGGTTTTTGGCAGTAACAGTGACAGATTTCTTGACAATCTGAGTAGAAATCACGATAAGAGGCAGTTTTGACCTATGTGCTCCACTAAATCCCCAAAACAGTTGCCTTTGGAAATACAACATATATTTGGTTGCAGTTAAGCACAAAGGTTATTCCCATTGTTTGGTTTGACTAACAGGCTCAGGCCAAACAAAATCCCATGAAGGAACTGCAAATCAGGAAGTTAGTTCTAAACATCTGCGTGGGTGAGAGTGGCGACAGACTGACACGTGCGGCCAAGGTTCTTGAACAGCTAACTGGACAACAGCCAGTGTATTCAAAAGGTACAGACAAAGAAATTTAGGAATGAGTAATTTTGTGTCTTGTAGACCCTGTAATTCTCAAAGTCTGATTTATAGAACATAATTTTTTTTTTAGCTCGCTACACTGTGAGGTCTTTTGGAATTAGAAGGAATGAGAAAATTGCAGTTCACTGCACTGTGCGAGGTGCCAAGGCTGAAGAGATCCTGGAGAAAGGATTGAAAGTGAAGGAGTATGAACTGAACAAGGAGAATTTCTCTACTACAGGTTTGATTTTGGAGAATTTGATTTTTAATCAGGGATTGAAAAACAGTAATGAAAGGCTTATGGTTAGCAACTCAGCAAACACATAAAGGAACAATAGGGCTCTGAAGCTGCTGGGTAAATAATAGACTAATGTTATACGTTAAATTTTCTTTTTTTGTCAAATATTGTCACTTGGAGGGGCTGATTGATTTTAAACTGTGTGAATCTCTTTCTCAGACAGTTGAAATGGAAATTCCATGTTAAAGTTATCATAATTTAAGACATTTTTATCATGAGCATTCTACTTTGTAAAGTCAGAGTTTTTCAATCAAATCAAGGGTTAGACCTTTGGTGTTCTAGGTTCAATGACCTACCATGGGCACTGATCAACAATTGTGAAAGCAAAAAAAGTGATAATTAACCTACCATCTTTCCCAAACTGTCTCCAAACAGTACAATCACTTAACCCAACTTTGTTGTTAGGAAACTTTGGCTTTGGAATCCAAGAACACATTGATCTGGGCATCAAGTATGACCCAGGTATTGGTATCTATGGAATGGATTTTTATGTGGTGCTTGGACGTCCAGGGTTCAATGTGGCCAAGAGAAAAAGAGCCAAGGCTCATGTTGGTGCCCCTCACAAGATATCAAAAGATGAATCTATGAAGTGGTTCCAGCAGAAGGTATCAGTTATTCCTTTACACCCTGATATCAGTTGCAAGTTCTCCAGACTGTTCTCTACACATCTCTATAGTTCTCTTAAGGGTCAATGGTTAAATTCTCTTTCTTGTGAAGTTTTCAGTTGAGTGTGAAAAGAAATGCACAAAAACATTGATTTGAAAAACTTTCTTCTTGGACAAGTTGGTTTTATCAACTGAGATGATAATGAAAATTGGTCGTCATGGAGAGTTTTTAAAGCTGACATATATTTGCTCTGACCAACGGCTAATGCTCAAAACATCAGCTTTTAAGGGGGCTTATTCACATTATCAACCCAAATGATAAAACCAATTAATCTTGGATTCCTCCCTACTGATACAGTTTAGTTTATAGTTTAGTTTATTAGATTCGCCCACAGGCAGGGACACCGCAACAGCTTGTGCCAATTACTGCGGCCCAGTAAACCCACCCATCCCACCCCAGGGGAGGACATCCACCACACAGTAATCTCGTGCGTGGGAAATTAATGTCTCCTACCCCTAAACCTGCAGGAGATGGGGCCTACGGTTTATTCGTCCTTATCCGAGAAGACTAGAATATCTCTCCGTTTCTTGATATACAGCTCCACACAGTTTCATAATAGACTTCTTCCCATTATTTCTTTGTTGTTAGTCTCTTCTACAGCTGCTACTAGAGATATGTTTGTCTGTACTGATTTTGTTTTAATCAGAAGTTTATTGAAAAGCCTTCCTCTTTGCAACAACTTAGCATTATTACCTTCATGAAAATTGAGACAAGACATTGTTCAACAACAACAAACAGCACTGGTTTATTTGAACTGTAAAATTACTATAGTTACAAATTAAACGAAATGCATCTAGATAATTCTCTTTTGAATGAATAGGGCATTAGAATCTTAAATCTCTCATCAGTTTCATTCCATGATATAGCTCCATTGAATCGAATATTAAATTTACCATAGTTTGTTTGAATTTTTGGAACATAAAAAGTAGTCCTAGTTGCAAAGCAAGTGTTAACATTATACTTATCTGGAGTTTTAATAAAAAATGAGTCAAAATCTTTGGTAATTTGCCGATAAAGAATTGGTGCATGAGGTAAAGAGTTTGAAGTTTGATATGATCCTCAAGTTTTAGAAGTTTAAGTTGAAAAAACAAATGACTTGTATGAGTATCAAAATCAAAGAAGGTAATTAGACGAATCACTTTCTTTCGTATTCTTTGGAGTGTTTTAATATTATGATCATAGGTGTTATCCCAGACTATACAACAAAATGAAACAGTTATTGGTAATAATTATTGGTAATAATTGTTTTTTTTTTCTTTTTCCTTACAGTTTGATGGAATCCTTCTCAACCCAAAGAAAAAATCCTGAGCTTTGAAATAAACAGAAACTTCCATCAGACTGTCGTGTGTTGGTTTTTAAACCTGAACCAGTCTCCATATTCTCCATACTGTTCTGTCTCTATTTCCTTTTGTGCTGACAGAAAGAATTGGTTTGAGAATCAAAGCTTCTTTGGTTGGCCATCATTTCCTTCATTCTCATGATATTAATGAATGAATTAGCAGTGTTATTATAAGGAGAAATTAGATGCTGGTTGCCCCCTTGGGTTTAAAGGTCTATCAAGTGTCCCACCCAATCCCTGGGCTCTTTTTCTTTTTTTTTTTTTTTCATCTTCACAGTCTTGCATCTAAGATGTCCTTTTTCTCTAGTCTCACTGATAATGAAATACTATGTGGACATTCCAGATATTCTTAATATTTGTAACAATTTTGTATCCAGTTTTTTCAAGTAAAGAATGATCTCACCCAATCAGCTGAAGAAGGCAGCAAAAAGTCTCTCTTGCTAAAGCACCCATCAAGGCGGTGAACATTTGGGTGTTGGGTGTGCTATAAATGTTTTTAACAGTTGTTTTAAGTATCCAGGGTAGACTTTTTCACTAACCCTTTAGATAGGATCTCATTGTTAGTTCTCCCCTTGAGCTGCTACAGATTTTTTAGCAACAAGGATGCAGAGGATAAGTTTGAGAATTGTCTTCACCTGTTTGTTGGATAATGTATGGACACTTAAGAGAGAAGCAACGTGTAAATCACTTCTGGAAGTTGAGGGTTAGGTCATGAAGAGTTTGTTTTTGGAAATAATTCCTACTGGAATACTCTTAGCTGAGGACTTGTCCCAAACTCTTTCTTTGAGTATGTTGAATTGTTACTGGGAAGGAACTGATATTTTATTCACTTTGGTAGATTCCCAAAACAGTACTTTAAAATGAACTTTATTGGTTTGTTTTTGGTTGTGGCGTCAACATTGCACTCTTAAAACACACTAAATACTGTTTGTTATTGGGAGAATTTTGCTTTTTCATTAGGTAGTATACATTTTTCTGTTAGCTCTTCAACAGCTGCCAGTCTTCTTAACCTAATTTGTCAGTAAGAAAACCAAACCGCGTTAGTAAACAATGCTATTTTAGCGGAGGAGTGAGAAAACGAATGGGGTCTGGGTCGGGTCGCGTAATGAACGCGTTTTTTACGCGATCCTACCCACGGCTCCCTCGTTTTTCGCTCTGCTGCAACCGCCGCCCGCGGATTTCGCGCCATTTCACTTTTGAACATCTAGAATAGGCTACTTGAACTGATGTATGCTTTTTAGCGGGAAGTCTCCAAGAGAGAGATAAAGTTCATGGAAAAGGTCACCAGTTCAAATGATAAGATTGGAACTCGTAATTTTTCCAATTGTTGAAATAGTTTGCGGAAAGAGGGATGGAAAGATGGGAAGTCAAAATAACCGTAGACTTGACTGCTTTGCTGTCAATACTTGAATATACATTTAAAAGACATCACAGCTCGTTTATCAATAGCTTTCAGCACTGAAGTCCACCGAAAACAAACATGTAATTTATGAAAAAGTGTTTTTTTTTTTTTTGATGACATTATGGTGTTAGGTTTGCCACCATAACCATCCTTCCCACTAACATGTAATTCCGTGTTGTTAGTGAGCGAGCTTACTCAGCAGTGCTCAGTTCAGTCAGTAATGGTTTCAGCGCTTTGTTGGATCCTTTTGATGTGCCCAGGTAAGACATGATGGCTTTTTTGACATGGTAGCGTGACTGCTCCGACAAAGTGTTCAATTCTGTCAGGTTCATTCGCTGCCAATCATTCACTGTTCTAGAATGATCTTCTATCATTCTTCTTGCAGCCCTCGTCTCCTTTAGACGTTGAAGGTCACTTCTGGAAAACAAACACATTCGTGTCATATGTGAAGCTTGTACCTAATTACTATGAAGCTCAGGTGTTAGAGCAGTCCAAATTCTTGACGTGAACTCGCATTTTTCCTACCCTGCGCTTAGCGGAGCACGACAAGTGCGCCAACGAGTTATTTTTTAAACGTTCATTTTGCACGTTAGAATCGCTGCGGCGTACATTACTGCAACCTACTGTGACCACAGTAACTTCCCCTTGCACTCGTTCTGGTCTTTTGCTCTTTTTTACTGGGACTTTTACTCTTTTTTACTGGGACGGAATACTTAAGTTAGAGTCTGAGAGGGTTAAGACAACATAAAAAGCGTCTTATTGTAGCATGGACGGGGAATTTAGAGGAGAGGAATCAACTTACCTGAATGGTTGGACATGAGAGTAGTTCATGTTGAAATGTTGGTACTGTTTTTGTTGGAATCTTGGGTAAGCTACTTTTGGTATCGGAGGGAGCCTGGTACTGCCTTTACTGCTTTCCTTTCCAGATACGTTTTTGCTCCTAAAACCATAAGAAAAAGAATTATGATTCATTAGTGAAATTGCACTGTAGCTAGGGCTTTTTAGAGGAGTGTTTAAGAATTTCGGGTTTGTTTGATTAAAATCATGAAACCGTTGTCTTAGCACGACATGTTGGTTTCTCAGCACCCTGGTACATTTATGCAAGCGCATGGCTCACATCTTATTAAAAGAAAGGCCGGCACGTACCAGACTTGAGGCTTGTAAAAACAGGGTGGTGTAACGGAGTCGTATTTGGGACCTGGGAAACTAAAAGAAAGCTGAGTTAGTAAAGAGAGGCCTGGTGCGTGTTACCTGAAAAAGACGCAAAACAAGAGCGCTTTGCGATCGAATGTCTCAACAGCCAATCAGAGAACAGGTAAAGATCTCAACAGCCAACCACAACACAGGTAAAGATCTTAAAGCGCCAATGAGAAATACAAACATTTGAAGGAAATTGACCAAGTTCTATTTTTGGTTAAAGAGTTGGCGCGAGTTTTGTAGACCAATCACGGAGCGCAGTGAAGTAAAAAACAAAGTGATGCCGGTTACCTTTTGGCACTCGATCAAACATTTCCATAAAAATCATTAAAGACTTACTGATCCATCCTCCAGGACTCCTCTGGGTCTGAAAGTTCAACAAAACAACCCATTACATCATCGATAAATAACTCTTTGAGTGACTCTGATGATGGCTTCCACTCCGAGCGAGAAGCGCCAGTCATTGTAACCCACAACAATCCATTCCAGGACTTTTCTCAGGTGGATGATCAGACTGCACGATTGAGCGTTATAACATATCTTATATGGAGCATCAAGCATTGAATCTTGTGTTTAGCCCCTTAACTCTACTTAGCCTCTCTCTCTCTTTCTCTCCCTGATACTTACCGACAAGTCGAAGAGTCGTGGCTCTTGTACCCCACCCCGGACGGGGAACGTAGTCAACCTGCAACCGATAATGTAAAAGGGGTATTACAAGATAATTCGGCTTTAGCGACTGAGTTGATAAGCTAAATTTTTCACCGTAAATATTTTCTAAAATTGACGTTTCGAGCGTTTGCCCTACATTGTCTTTTGCTCTGTGACCTATAGACTTACCCGCATTACTATTAAGAGAGAGAGACTTTTGACCAATGACCGAGCGATAGGGGAGTCACGATGATTTTAGAGAAATCCGATTTTAATCAGTCTCCTTTGATCCTTTGATACTATTTTTATTGCATGATAATTATCTACTTACCTGGTCATCGATCATGTAGTTGACGACGTAAGTATTGTAATATGGCGCAAGATCATTGAAAACATCTGGAGTGTATGGTTTCCTTGAGAAAAGTCGAAAAAAAAAAAAATTCATGATGAGATCTTTCCGAGGGTTGTAACGGTTTCGAAGAGATCCTTGATAATCACACAGAAAAAGGTAGACTGCAAAAAAAGCTCAAAGAAAAAATATGATATTATCTTACAAAGTTAAAAGAATCACCTAAGAACTTACAAGTTGGCGTATAACTTCTAAAGGCTTACTATACTGAAGGTTTACTATACTAAAGGTTTACTATACTAAAGGTTTACTATACTAGGGCTTACTATATTAAAATATTGCTATATTAAAGGCTTACTATACTAAAGGCTTAGTGTACTAAAGGCTTACTATACTAAAGGCTTACTATATTAAAGGCTTACTATGCTAAATCAATAGACTACTCACACTTCCGTTTTGCTGACAAGACTGCTGTTGTTAATCATTTCTTTTTTCACCCGATGTAGTTCACAAAGCAGTTGAGAGCGCATGCGTTTCTGTTCTTGTATGGGTTCTTCTTCCTCCGGCTGCTGCATTTCTGGAGCGCCTAAAATGTTACAACGACAACACCAAATTAGGAGAATAGACAATTTTTCGCTTCTCATACCAAAACCAAATCCACATAAATTATTTGTGCAATCTACTTTAGAGGAATGTTTTTCTTGTGTGTTGTGGCCAATCCTCTTGGCACGATACTTTAGTCTTTTCCTTTCCAGTTGTTCTGATTTTTCGCCCCAGCATGCCACTGGTGCTCAGCACGCGGAAGAATCAAACCTAAGGAGTTGCGTTTATATAATTGGTTCTTATTTATGGTGTATAGGAAGCAGATGCAAATTTGACGTCATCACTGAAAACTTTTTGCTTCTTTGTTATATGAAACAAATAGACTCCATGTTGTCGTGGGTCCGTTCAGATACGTCAGAATATGGTAAGAACATTAGTGACACATTCGGCTGGACTGACGTCGTGTTCCACTTTTTTGTTTTTACCGCATCAGTGACGTCATCTGTAATCTATTACTGAACAGGCGCACGATAACATGGCTTCCATGTGTTGAGCTTTCAACTGTTTGCGAGTCTATATCTGTGAGATGTCCGTTGAAATCAAAACTCAAGATTGTTTTTTTTCCAGGTGTTGTTGGCTTATGGATGACACGTGCATGGTCCTATGTTGTTCGTAACAAATTAAATTCTTATACTAATTCACAGGTTTGACAATGCAGCTATAAGGTCACACGTTTACTGTCTTTACCGTACACAAGTTAACATTTTATTTTTGAAATATATGATCAAAGGCAGTTTTATTTAATTTTTTATTTTCATCACAAAGAACAGAAACCACCGAAGTTATTCTGGATGTTGAAGAAATAAGTAATTTGTTTGGTGTTCGACGACAGAAAATTTAATTACTATATAGTAAGGAATAGAAGTAAAGGGGGAAAATGTACGTCTCGCAAAAACTAACATGAATATTTTTAACGGGGCAGAGGTCAGAGACAGTAATAACAGCAGGTTTCTCTTCAAAACTTTGATGAAATAATAATTGTTTACTGTTTGTGAAAAGGAATACTTTGACATGGCCGAAAAAGTAATTGTTTGTTCTTGACAAGAAATTTGGAACAACAAACATGTAAAATCAACCTACGTTACTGAGTTGAAAGAAGTGTGGGTAACACACAAACAAAACTTGATTAACTTTTTTTAACCAACGGAAAAAACTTGCCTAGTTGTTATTTCTAGTTGGCGAGACATTAGAAAAAAGTCGTGTGGCGCCTTTCATCATCAAGGCATACTTAACAAGTTCTTGAATGTAAACATTTATCGATTATCGTGTCGCTACTCAAACTGAAGAGATATTAAATCCTCATTACATCTAAACATTCTTTACCTTGTGTTGAAGCTTCATCAGCCATCGTATTTCAACTTTGACTGACCTGCGAAAGAATTTCCTTTGCTAAAACTTGAAAATATTATTCGCAAACAATTCAACTGTTGTGGTATCACTTACATTACAAACTCGCAAAGCAGACTTACTTCTCTGCAAATTGGAGGCAAAAAGATGTTTTACTAATCAAAACATGTTTGTTGAAAACTAAAACTCACCCAAAATAACAAAGAAAGGAACAAATAAGTTTGCAGAAATGTTGTGCTGCTGTAAGAGTACTTCAATTCTTTTTAAGCTCTTTGCTCCTCAGACTGGTTTCTATGGAGATCACAGTCTAACAGGTCCCTTGGGGCTGTTACAGTAATCATAGGTGTGTGTTTGCATATCAATTGAACGGATATTAAATATTCAAACAAAAGAAACTCGTATACTCTCGCGGTCTGGCATTGTTTCAACCCAATAAACGTTCAAACAATGCGATTACTTTTAGTCCCAGTATTCTTGAATTCACGTTAACTTTGTTGTTTTTCCTAAGGAGGAACAGTCAACGTGAAAAGGTCTGATCAAGTAAAGAAACTAAAAGAATAACTGTTTCATTTGTAAACCAGTTTGTAAAATTATGTACACACATAAGAAGGAATTTAATGAAGAAATTAAAAGAAGTGAATCTAGCCCAAAGCACAGAATGAAACTTACAGCCGATCGTATTTCACATCAAATGAATATAAACAAAGATATCGTTTTGAAATTCAGAGGATGAACTGTATATTACCAAATACAACATTAATTTTAATTTCTTTTTCCTCATTATCACTCGCATAGCTCTGTGCGTGGAAAACCGAAATTAAGGTAATTGTTACCGGGTCGTAGTTGAGTACATATATAAATCTATAGCTCTCGGCTTTGTTAAATTCATAAATTTTACACAAAAGGGCTTTGAAAATTATAACAGGCATAAATGTTGCAAACACTCTTCTCTATGAATGGTTTCTACAAATGGTTCAAAAGATATTTCTGAAAATGACAGAAAGAAGTCTCGACTTCGTCATTACTCGTAAGTATTCCGAAGTGTGGCTGTCGACCTCGACAATACTCGTCGGTCCTTGGAAGGGTTGAGACTTTCACACTTTTCAATATCTTAATAGCAAAAAATTGACGTACGTGGCGGATATTGAGTTTACGTTGATGACTAAACTGTGACAAAAATGGTGATCCAAACGTGGCTTGTTCATGTACTGCTGTTACAACAACACTCGTGATGATTTAATAATTTAAGACTCCAGAAAAACTCTCAATGCTGCAAAACGATTTCGCGAGAAGCTGCGTCCAATTCTTTGGTCAGTGGTTTCAGTGCACGGCTCGACCCTCGGGATGTCCCGAGATAGGACTCGATGGTTTTTTTGAAGTGATATCTGGGGCTAGGAGGAAGTTTCTTCAGTTCCGACAAATTCATACGATTCCAGTCCTGCTTTGTTCTTTCATAATCAACCTTTGCTTGCCTCTCTGCAAGTGCCTCAGATGTGCTGTAAAGGTCGCTCCTTAAAAGGAAACATAACAAATAAATAACTTACAACACTGCAGACAAACGTCTGCGCATGTGCAAACGTTGTACTGACTTACTGACTTAGTGGCGGGCTTCCAGGCTATCAGAACCAAGTTGTCTCATACGAGTTACTAACAACCACACGAGCCAGTAGGTCACTGCGTTCTTTAAGGGTAGGAATATTATGGTAAAGCTCAAAACAGAATGGTAAATCAACGGGATACCCGTACTTGAATAATCTTTGTGTTCGAAAGTGTAGAGTTTTCCTATTCCCTAGGTTTGTTTCCATTTACCGATTTCTATGAAAGTTCTAAATTAGTTTCGCTTATTTTGCGAGACAGCGGTTATTTCTTTACGTTTTCCTTTGGAATTTTGTGCGAGAAACTAGCGCACGCGCGGCCAGAAAGGATCCCCTTGCACGTGCTCGACGTTTGACCGCTGTGTTTTAACATATTGGCAGCGCTGACAGAGCTGAATGACGAAATGCTACGTCAAAGGACACGTCAAAGGGTAAACGGTCACCAACGCGGGCTCAACCATGCGAGGTTAAAAATTTAGCGAAATTCGCGTAGAATAATAAGGGCTGACATTTAAAATCGAGGCACTTTGTTGTCATCGAAGCCATTTTCTAATCTCCAAAGTTTTTAAGGAGAAAATTAATTTTCTCCTTAAAAATTTTGGGGGTGTACAAAGTTTTTGGAGGTTGTTCTGTAGAAGAAAAGCGGCAAGGAAAACAACGTTAAGAAGCAACAGAATAGGAAATCAACCATGCAAACGACTCAAAATTCGTTTTCCGCGCCAAAACTTGGCGCATGCGCTACGCTATTTAGCTCTGTCGGCAGCACTTGTAATTACATGTACAATTTCTTGCCACACATACCTGAAGTCAGCTAAGTGATCATAAGTCATTTTGTGTGGCTGATAATTTGATTGGTTGAATTTCGGAAAATTTGGCATTGGCAAAGGAGGGAGTCTGGTGCTGCCTTCGTTGTTTGGTTGGGACAGGTTTCTGCTCCTGTAAACCAGATTAAAAACTTGTGGATGAAACTGCTCAAAATTGTTTCAAATTGCCAAAGTTAATGAGTAACAGCTAAAAAAATTTAAATTTTAATGCTCAATAAATTTAAATTTTTAATGGGCCAACTTTCTTTGTAGTTTTGAACAACCAACAAAAGTTATTTTTTACTATTCAGCAGTCTATTTTTGTCAAATTTTATTCCCTTAAATTTTGTTTTCCAAAGAAAAAATTTAACAATAAAATGTTTTGCCGACAGAGTTCCATTAATATCCTCCAACAGTTTGTAACAAAATTAAAATAAGCATTATTTACCATTTTGTTGGGTGAAAAAGTCTTCCAGGCAATCTTGACTGTGGAACTGGAATAGGGAAGCTGAACAAAATAATGACAGAAAATATTTTGAGACGTATGTTGAGAAAATGATTGCAAGTGTTTTTCATAAAGTAAAAATATTCACAAAAAAATTAATACTCACTTGTCCAGTTTCCAAGAGATTTCTGGATCTAAAATAAAACAAAATAAAGTACCTTTTATTCTATTGAGCTGCACTGGGCTAATTAAAGTTTAGACTTTTCTATAGATGAGAGTTATCCTGTATCACACATCAAGAATCTTACCTACAACTCCAAGTGCTGTTGGTCTGGGGCCATAACCTCTATCATTTATTACTTCCTGTTTGGAAACAAAATCCAAATTACTACTGAAAACATCCTCCTGGCTGACCTCTAAAACCAGTCTACAATGTGAGTAGAGGATGTGTGGGGGTGGGGGGGGGGMGGGGAGGCAGATGAGGTCCCAGAAGAAGCTCAAGCCCCCCTCCCACTAAGTGTAAATGTGAGGGGTGGACAAATTTCAGTCTCCTTTACTTCTTAAATTCATTTCATCGTGATCAAGTTTGCATGTTGATTGGGTGAGCAAAAAGGTGTCAAATTTTTATGGCAAAAACTTCCTATTTGTGCACTGCTACAAACCAAAGTTACATACACAATGAATGTTATGAAAATTTCAAAGAGGCTTACTTCTCTCATCAAACTTCACAAGGAACATTTGAGAAAATGTGAGTAATTATAGGTCTTTGGTTTAGTGTACTATAAGCCCCCCTCATATCTTCAAAATTTCCTTGGATTCCTCTGTATCAGAAGTGCGGTAGAAGACACATCAAAGAGGTTAGGGAATGGGATATTTGAGAATAATTAAATACCTGTTGTAGATCTTGAATTGTAGTGTTGACCATATAGCAATTGTAGTATGGTGACAGACTATTAAAAATATCAGGAGAAAATGGTCTCCTATTGGGAAAAAGTACAAAAAATTCATATCACTCAATACCAGTTACCCAGAAAAAAATGTGATATGTCATTAAATCAAAGGTCCATTTATGATGAGGTGATGAGGTATGTGTAATAGGTTGGGGCCCTCATGTTAGTTCCTTCAGTTTGAAGATTGAATCAGTGTAAAGTAGTTACCAACCCCTTGGCCCCACCCATCTGCGGATACCATCTCACATGCAGA